TGTTGACAAACGTCAAGTGAAGCGAAGTCGGTGTGGCTGAATCAACCACACGTCGGTGAGAAAAGTCCGCGTGCAAGACAATGATCGGGGGCAGGGTTTCTTACCATGTCACAAAGACGTAAGATACCGGGGCAAATTGCTCGTGAAAGAATAGTGATCGTAAGCTCTGAGAATCAACGTTCATCCCTTTTCCCTTCTTTCTCCATATGCCTCTATATAACGTAACTCAATGAACCAACCACATTTATTTTCAGTTCAAATGTAAACGCAGACGACTGTTTACCCCGGAAGACGAAGTTACGACACCAAGCTTGTTTAGTAAATCTATGACAAAGCTAAGTAGAAAGACGGGGCAATCCTGATGAACACCCGTTTCTGGGCAGAATTCGGGTGGAAAAGTACCTCAAGCCGAGGCACGGCTAGAACTACTGAGATGCAGTAATTATAATATTGAATTAAACATCTTGGGCACACACCCCCAATTGAAAACAGTGTCATAGGATAGAGCGGTCAACTAAGTTGAATGCTACTTTCAGAGAGAAGAATACGCAAATATTGTGTGTACTTCACAGCTTGTATGTTTCGGATTTTTGAAGAAGAGTTAAATTATGATCCACACCGATTGGAGGAGGTCTATAGCATCCAGATTCTCAAGTGAACACTATTTATATAGGCCATTTTACCGGCAAATTGTTATACCAAGGAGAACTTCCGAGTTCTTACTACGTATTTAAAACTCATTTTTCCTCTCACAAACAATCCAGGAGTTCCGTCAAGTCCAGAACTAAAGCTGACACTCCGTCCATCAAAATTGATGGAGGTAGTCTATCTAAACTGGAAGCCTTAAAAGTTAAAAGACAACTAATTACCGTGGAAATAAGTAGAGGACCAATATAAATTTATATAAGTTGCACAACTTAGATAGGGGTTGACTAGTCTACTGTCCATCTGTGCCAGTTAACCTGACCCTCAACATGTTCAACCTGTTTTTTTCAAAATGGCCTTGCCAAAAACAAATCTGTGCGCACTAAAACTCAATAATTTCCCTATTTCATGTACATGCACCCCAAGTCAAACGGCAAGGATTTCGACTGTCACCGAGAACCACAGCCTCTTCTAGCTCTACCCAGTTTTGCTACCCATCCCGTCTCGTGACCATTCCTCAAACCATTGGTGAGCCTACCTTCAAGTGATTTGCAAGATGTATCGCGCAGATTGACATTTCCATAACTTACTTCATTGAAACATAGTGTATACTGAATCCCTCGGTTGGTGGTTGAACTAAGCGTCAATGAGAGAGCTTCAAAGGCCGACTTGCAATGCATGTAGTAATATGATTCCGACAGCCCTGTTTCAGTTATGCATGTGGCTTAAGAAGATCCGGGGTCAACAGTAAGCACCGTCGGTGTCAATCACTGTTGGAAATTGAGTGAAGCAGTCCTGAACGGATTTTCATCAACGATAGCCGATGGCAATATAATTCTTTGAGATTCATCGCTCAGAAGAATTCCGCAGGAGGAGTTGTGATGTCTTGCGAGTTAAACTGCCGCTTAATATGAGCAATTAACAATCTATGTACATTTGGATTGTTCGATCTGCGTTGTCAGTCCACTGGAGTGGGATTGCCTGTGAGCTGCCTAAGAAACATCCTGATTCGTCCAGGAATCCCACGTTAACATTGCACTCTCAACCTATAGTGTCCGTTGACCGAGCACTTTGGGGCAGTGGGTTGAGGTCGGTGCATAAGTCATTATTGGTTTCAGGCGCACTTCAAGAGGTCGATGCTCAAACGGGACGGATGAGAATACA